TTACGCTTATTGTGTTCTCTCTTAGTGTCTTATGGTACACTTATAGCGATAATAATAACGATAATTGTAATAATGATAATGACGATGATAATAACGATAATAATAATGATAAAAATAATGATAATGTATGGTTGGTGAGGCTGATGATGCAGGGAGAAAGTTGTGTGAGGGAATGCTGTCAGTCCGGGGGGAAACATTACTGGTACTGGTTGCTTACTGATTAATGCAACTCTGGTAGCTACGTCTCACTCTCTCTCTCTCTCTTGTTCTCATCCTCTCTCTCTCTATTTTCATCTTCACCCTCTTTTATCATCTCATCCTCTCCCTATTTCATTCTCTCATCCTTTCCCGCTTTCATGTTCTCTCATCCTCTCACTCATTCTCGTATCCTCTTCCCTATTTCATACTTTTTCATCCTCTCCCTATTTCACCCTCTCCTTATTATCTCCTACCTCTGATGGCGTATGTAGCCGTTGTTCCTGCCTTTCTGATAATTGGTCGAGAAATATAGAAAGTCACTATAAATGTTTAAATTAACTAACAGGTGTGGAAGCTCAGTTGTAGAAGACCGCGTTAGCGTAGAGTTATTATTGAAACAATTAAGAGTAAGATGGAGAAAAGGAACACAGATGAACAAGGAGGCTTTAGAAAGGGTAGGGGGAGTGTAGACCAAGTGTTTACAATGAAACATAGGTGAACGGTATTTAGATAAGGGTAAAGAGGCTTTTGTTGCATTTATGAATGTTACTGTTAAAGCCATGCAGGGAATGGCCACAAACAACCACCTTGGCCAGGGAAGCTGAAATGGAGAGAAAAGGTATCTGTTATCCACACTATGCGGTATAATGCAGCTCTGGGGTAACTTTAAATAGAACTTTGGGAAGAATTAAACATAGGTGGATGGGTACATGAGTGGGTGTGGGTGAATAAGAGTTGGACCTCTCTAGCATGGGCTACTAGTAATACTGGTTGAATTCCCGACAAAATGTTAGGTAAAAGGACGCAGATATAACTAATGTGATATTTATTGTGGCAACTTTTCGCTCTCCAGGAACTTTGTCAAACCTAACGTTACCGGCTTGACAAAGTTTCTGGAGAGCGAAACGTTGCCATAAGAAAATGTCACTTTAGTTACATCTGTATTCTTTTACCAAACATGGGTCAATAAGCCCGCCACAGTGTTCATTGTGTACATGGTAAGGGAAGAAGGATGTGTTGATATTGCAAAGGGAAGAGATAAGGGTTAATGGGAGGGGGAGAGGAGTAACGGAAGGGATTTAAGAGAATGTTGAGGCTTACTATACGTGTTCACTTATTGAGGAATATAGAGAAATAACAAGTATAATAACTTATGTGACATGTCAAGAGTACACGAGCACAACACTAAAGACCAGTCATAGGTAAAGCACTGGCACCATCCCAGCACTAGCCAGGTGTGGCAACACTGCTAAGAGAAAGAGATGTGGGGAGAAGATGGTAGCACTTTAAGCAAGTTACATCACTATTTTATCAACTTTCGTTTTTATTATCCTACTTATCGGCGAAAACACGACACTAATAGTATTGTGTGGGAGGTGTTGATGATGTGCGGTATAGAGTAGTGATTTATGTGATGGTAATGGAGGGTCTTGCTACGTTCAGTGTGGAGCTGAGCACTTCTCCAGGCTGAGGGACTGACTACCTCAGATCTACTACTTCAAGGTTCATTCTCCAGGCTGAGGGACTGACTACCTCAGATCTACTACTTCAAGGTTCATTCTCCAGGCTGAGGGACTGACTACCTCAGATCTACTACTTCAAGGTTCATTCTCCAGGCTGAGGGACTGACTACCTCAGATCTACTACTTCAAGGTTCATTCTCAGGCTGAGGGACTGACTACCTCAGATCTACTACTTCAAGGTTCATTCTCCAGGCTGAGGGACTGACTACCTCAGATCTACTACTTCAAGGTTCATTCTCCAGGCTGAGGGACTGACTACCTCAGATCTACTACTTCAAGGTTCATTCTCCAGGCTGAGGGACTGACTACCTCAGATCTACTACTTCAAGGTTCATTCTCCAGGCTGAGGGACTGACTACCTCAGATCTACTACTTCAAGGTTCATTCTCCAGGCTGAGGGACTGACTACCTCAGATCTACTACTTCAAGGTTCATTCTCCAGGCTGAGGGACTGACTACCTCAGATCTACTACTACAAGGTTCATTCTCCAGGCTGAGGGACTGACTACCTCAGATCTACTACTACAAGGTTCATTCTCCAGGCTGAGGGACTGACTACCTCAGATCTACTACTACAAGGTTCATTCTCCAGGCTGAGGGACTGACTACCTCAGATCTACTACTTCAAGGTTCATTCTCCAGGCTGAGGGACTGACTACCTCAGATCTACTACTTCAAGGTTCATTCTCCAGGCTGAGGGACTGACTACCTCAGATCTACTACTTCAAGGTTCATTCTCCAGGCTGAGGGACTGACTACCTCAGATCTACTACTTCAAGGTTCATTCTCCAGGCTGAGGGACTGACTACCTCAGATCTACTACTACAAGGTTCATTCTCCAGGCTGAGGGACTGACTACCTCAGATCTACTACTTCAAGGTTCATTCTCCAGGCTGAGGGACTGACTACCTCAGATCTACTACTACAAGGTTCATTCTCCAGGCTGAGGGACTGACTACCTCAGATCTACTACTACAAGGTTCATTCTCCAGGCTGAGGGACTGACTACCTCAGATCTACTACTTCAGGGTTCATTCTCCAGGCTGAGGGACTGACTACTCAGATCTACTACTACAAGGTTCATTCTCCAGGCTGAGGGACTGACTACCTCAGATCTACTACTTCAGGGTTCATTCTCCAGGCTGAGGGACTGACTACCTCAGATCTACTTCAGGGTTCATTCTCCAGGCTGAGGGACTGACTACCTCGGATCTACTTCAGGGTTCATTCTCCAGGCTGAGGGACTGACTACCTCAGATCTACTTCAGGGTTCATTCTCCAGGCTGAGGGACTGACTACCTCAGATCTACTACTACAAGGTTCATTCTCCAGGCTGAGGGACTGACTACCTCAGATCTACTACTTCAGGGTTCATTCTCCAGGCTGAGGGACTGACTACCTCAGATCTACTTCAGGGTTCATTCTCCAGGCTGAGGGACTGACTACCTCAGATCTACTTCAGGGTTCATTCTCCAGGCTGAGGGACTGACTACCTCAGATCTACTCAGGGTTCATTCTCCAGGCTGAGGGATTGACTACCTCAGATCTACTTCAGGGTTCATTCTCCAGGCTGAGGGACTGACTACCTCAGATCTACTATTTCAAGGTTCATTCTTCAGGCTGAGGGACTGACTACCTCAGATCTACTACTTCAAGGTTCATTCTTCAGGCTGAGGGACTGACTACCTCAGATCTACTACTTCAAGGTTCATTCTTCAGGCTGAGGGACTGACTACCTCAGATCTATTACTTCAAGGTTCATTCTCCAGGCTGAGGGACTGACTACCTCAGATCTACTACTTCAAGGTTCATTCTCCAGGCTGAGGGACTGACTACCTCAGATCTATTACTTCAAGGTTCATTCTTCAGGCTGAGGGACTGACTACCTCAGATCTACTACTTCAAGGTTCATTCTCCAGGCTGAGGGACTGACTACCTCAGATCTATTACTTCAGGCTCATTCTCAAGGCTGAGAGGACCACCTCAAAACTACGTCTTCAAAGGTGATGGACTGATTACATCGTCTTTACATCTCTACTGCTTCTGCTGCCTTTCCTGTATTCGACTGCAAAAGCCTACTGTGTAGGCGAAACGTTTCGGAATAAATATACATGTAACTGTTGCACATATCTAAACCAGCCCTTCCAGAGATGTGCCCTGATAAAGCTCAGATTCCAGGGACTGAAGAATCTTCCTCGGATCAAGCCCCATCACCTTTCATTTCTCCAAACGTTGTTTGACCCCTACGGGTTTAACTTTCCCCAGAATACAGTAATAATCATCAGTGAAACATTTACAAGACAGGGTTTTCTTCCAGCACCGTTGGTGGAAAGTCCGGTTCCACAATTGTGCGGATAATGCATTTTGATTATAAATATTACAGAGGATGAGCATGTAAATTAAATTAAAATAAACTCCTGGCGTGTTTCAGTGGGTTAATGTTGACCAATATAATGGTTTAGTGTGATTAATGGGGAGTTTAAAACCTATCGACTATACAAATTGTGAGTTCATTACCTTTGTAAATTGTGAGTTCATTACCTTTGTAAATTGTGAGTTCATTACCTTTGTAAATTGTGAGTTCATTACCTTTGTAAATTGTGAGTTCATTACCTCTGTAACTTGCTCAGCTATCAAAACTTTGGAGTCCAGTCCCTGGACCAATTATGTACCTCTGTAATCTTTTGACTACCGCCCACAGGATGGGTATGGGGTGCATAATAAACATATTAAACTAACTAACTATACAAGGGTCATTAAGGCCGCACGTAACCTCACAACCAGAGAGCATGACACTAGTCACTAGAGTAGAGATTAAAGCAAACTCTCAACATATATACACACACCGAGAGAAATACACCTCTGTGTATATCTGTGTCGACGTGCTTTGTTTGGTGGGATTAGTAACATGTTTTTATTTTCTCGAGTTTCTAGTGATAAATGCTTGTTATTGTCGAGGAGGGAAGTGTAGAGTGTGGTAATGGTGGTGGTAGTTTCACTTAGTGTTTGTGTGTGCTTTCTTTTACCTGATTTAATGTTTATGTTGGTGACTTAGTGTTTTGTTGGCTCTCTCTCTCTCTCTCTCTCTCTCTCTCTCTCTCTCCTCTTCTCTCTCTCTCTCTCTCTCTCTCTCTCTCTCTCTCGTGAAGTAAACCTCATTATCTTTCATACTCCAGTCGCTTTATGGTTCTTGCGACTTTAACGCTTCATGATAATAATTTAAGCCCAGTTTTTACTATTTCAGATCATCGGAGGAGAGGAAGAGGTTGAGAAGCAGCCATGAGCGGCCGGCAGCGATATGCAAGCCTGCCTGCCTTCCTTGTACTGGTGGTGGTTGTGATGGTGGGCAGCCATGCCCTGCTCATGGATACGTGTGACGGCAAACCTCACCAGGTCACCCTCAACACCCAGGCCAAGGCTTATATTGGTAAGACAGATCATTGTGAGGAAGCCCGTGGTGAGAGAGGGAGTGAGTTGACTGGAGATGCTAAGCTGGTGGCATCACCTCTTACCTTCTCCAGCTCTACCTGGAACAGGACACAATGTCCTGCAAGTGTAGTTTCACGTCACACAGAAGAAAGTTCATTATTGATATCCTAATATCTGTTCTCAGACACTAAGATATATCCTAGTGTGTTCTCAGATGCTGGGATATATCCTTGTTGGTTGTCAAACCAGGATGTATCCTAGTGTCTTCTCAGACGCCTGGGAAACTGTTGGGGAAATAATCTTGTAAAATGAAGTGAGGCTTTAGAAAAAGTCAAGAGATGATGGATGACACCAGTCACTTAGTAAGTCGTAGACTGTGAAAGAAAGGTATATGTTGAAAAACAAGCTTTTAATGTACGCTATTTAGCTATTTAGTTTGTTCTTTGAAGTGTCCTTTTAAAATCACTGTTGTCGGCAGTATGCAATTTTGAAGCTCCTAGATTTAATAATGGTCCGAAACACTGTCTAGCTTTCATTTACAGTTTGTTGGTTGTGAATTTCATATTATTGCAAGTGACGGATCACGAAATGCACCAGAGATTCTTGGCAAATTTCTAAACACTAGGACTGACTCGATTCTTCTGCTTCTGAGAGCCTGCCTAGTAGCTCGACCTTTTAAGAGTAAATTTAAATAATAGCGTTAGTGAACATACCGTAATAATCTTAATGGAGAAGTCTCTCTGAGTCCATTAATTGGCTCCTTGTGTTGGTCTGCTTCAAATACTTCGTGAATATCATGCCTACGCCGATGACTGCGTTAGTTACCATTTTGTCCTAGGCACATGTCGATTAGACACTAGGCCTGGTGTGTGTGTACTCACCTATTTGTGGTTGCAGGGGTCGAGTCATAGCTCCTGGCCCCGCCTCTTCACTGATTGCTACTAGGTCCTCTCTCTCCCTGCTCCATGAGCTTTATCATACCTCGCCTTAAAACTATGTATGGTTCCCGCCTCCACTACTTCACTTTCTAGACTATTCCACGACTTGACTACTCTATGACTGAAGAAATACTTCCTAACATCCCTTTGATTCATCTGAGTCTTCAACTTCCAATTGTGACCTCTTGTGTATGTGTCCCATCTCTGGAACATCCTGTCTTTGTCCACCGTGTCTATTCTGCGCAGTATTTTATATGTCGTTATCATGTCTCCCCTGACCCTCCTGGCCTCCAGTGTCGTCAGGCCAAATTTCCCCTCAACCTTTCTTCGTACGACAATCCCCGTAAGCTCGGGGGGACTAGTCTTGTTGCAAACCTTTGCACTTTCTCTAATTTCTTGACGTGCTTGACTAGGTGTGGATTCCAAACTGGTGCTGCATACTCCAGTATGGGCCTGACGAAATGGTATACATGTCTTGAACGACTCCTTATTGAGGTATCGGAACGCTATCCGTAGGTTTGCCAGGCGCCCGTATGCTGCAGCAGTTATTGATTTATGTGCGCCTCAGGAGATATGCTCGGTGTTATACTAAACCCCCAGATCTTTTTCCTTGAGTGGGTTGCAGTCTTTGGCCATCTAAACTATTATTGTGTCTGCGGTCTTCTTTGCCTTCCCCAATCTTCATGACTTTGCATTTGGGCAGGGTTTAAACTCAAGGAGCCAGTTTCTGGACCAGGCTTGTAGCCTGTCCAGTCTCTTTGTAGTCCTGCCTGGTCCTCATCCGATTTGATTCTTCTCATTAACTTCACATCATCTGCAAACAAGGACATTTCTGAGTCTATCCCTTCCGTTATGTCGTTCACATAACCAAGAACAGCACAGGTCCTAGGACTGACCCCTGTGGAACCCCGCTTGTCACAAGCGCCCACTCTGACACCTCGTCACGTACCATGACTCGTTGTTGCCTCCCTGTCAGGTATTCTCTGATCCATTGCAGTGCCTTTCCTGTTATGTGTGCCTGATCTTCTAGCTTTTTCAGTAACCTCTTGTGAGGAACTGTGTCAAAGGGCCCTTTTTTGCAGCCCAAAAAAAATGCAGTCGACCCACCCCCTCTCTCTCTTGTCTTACTTCTGTCACCTTGTCAAAAAAACTCTAGTAGGTTTGTGACACAGGTTTTTTCCTTCCCTGAAACCATGCTGGTTGTCAATTAAACACTTGTTTCTTTCCAGGTGCTCCACCACTCTCCTCCTGTGATCTTCTCCATAAACCTTGCATACTATACACGTTAGTGATACAGGTCTGTAGTTAGTCCCTCATGTCTGCTCCCTTTTTAAAAAATTTTGGAACTACTTTTGCCATCTTCCATACCTCAGGAGTTGCCCAGTTTCAAATGATGTGTTGAAGATCTTTGTTAATGGCACACAAAATATCTCTGCCCCCTCTTTAAGGACCCACGGAGAGATTTTTGTCGGGTCCCACCGCCTTTGAGGTGTCAAGTTCGCATAGCAGCTTCTTCACTTCCTCCTTGGTTATATGTACCTCATCCAGCACTTGCTGGTGTACCCCCTGTTCTGTTTTCCCGGGAGTCCTACTGGTTTCCACTGTAAATACTTCTTTAAATCTCGTGTTGAGCTCCTGACATACCTCTCGGTCGTTTCTTGTGAATTCCCCATCACCCTTCCTCAGTCTGATTACCTGGTCCTTGACTGTTGTTTTCCTCCTGATGTGGCTGTACAACATTTCGGGTCAGTCTTGACTTTCGATGCTATGTCATTTTCATATTGTCGCTGAGCCTCCCTTCTTATCTGTGCATATTCATTTCTGGCTCTTCGGCTAATCTCTTTATTTTCCTGAGTTCTCTGTCTTCTGTACCTTTTCCATTCTCTAGTACACCTAGTTTTTGCCTCCCTTTACACCTTTGGGTGAACCAAGGACTCGTTCTGTTCTTCCCATTATTTTTTTTTTTTCCCCTTGGGAACAAACCTCTCCTCTGCCTCCTTGCATTTTGTTGCCACATTAGTCCATCATTTCTTGTACTGGTTTTCCTGTCAGTTCCCTCTCCCACTGAATTTTTTAAAGGGAAGTTCCTCATGCCTGAGTAGTTCCCCCCTTTTTTGTAGTTTGGTTTTTCCCACCCATTCCTGCTACTCTCTCCACTTGGAGCTCAACTATGTAGTCGAAGCACAGAACCACATGATCACTAGCTCCCGGGGGCCTTTCATACAAGATACCTCGATGTCTGAACTACTAAATTGTGAATACAAGGTCAGTCTTGCGGGTTCATCTTCTCCTCTCTCTCTGGTAGTGTCTCTAACTGTTGTTTGCATGAGGTTTTCCAGTACTACTTTCCATCATCTTGGCTCTCCCATGTTTCGGAACCCCCATGGGGCTCCAGGTTTTCCCAGTCAATCTCCTTGTGATTGAAATCACCCATAACTAGTAACTTTGCTCCCCCCCCACATGTGCTCTCCGGGCCACCTCGGCTAGTGCGTCGACCATGGCTCTGTTGCTCTCATGTATTCTTCTCTTGTCTCCTGCAGTTCTGTGGTGGGTTGTACATTACTGAAATTATCCCCTTATGTCCTCAGACTGGATTTTCCTACTAAGTAGTCCCTTTCACCCGTGCCATCCATTCCTTCCATTTTCTCAAAACCCACTGGCTTTTAATGACAGTGCAACTCCTCCTCCCCCTCTCCTCCCTCTGTCTTTCCTGAGGATTTGATATCCGGGTGGAAAGATTGAATCTGTTAAATTTTTCTGTGAGTTTTGTTTCTGTGAGTGCTATTAGTCTGGGATGGGCTCCTTGATTCTTTCATGCCCCTCCCCATACTTATTTGTTATTCCATCGCATTTGTATACCCATACCTTCAACTTCTTTTCTAAGACTGTGGTCTGGGAGGTGTATTGGGGTTGGGAAGTGGGAGACCTGATAAGGAACTATGGGTGGTTGCTGTGGGGGTGGAGTTTGTAATGTAGTGGGTGGGGGCATTGGATATGACATGGGTTTTTTTGGTTTAGAGTGTTTGGCTGCACTGGGGTTGACCGGTTGGGAGGGTTCTATAGGAAGCTGTGAGGGAGGTTGTATTTGATCTTCTTCCTGTGTCTGCGATCTCCTGTCTTTCTTCTCCATCCCCTCTCTTTCCTCCTTTCTCCTTTGTATTTATCTCTCTCAGTTTCCGCCTTTCGTCTTGTGTTCTGTCGCGGTTTGAGATACACCTTCCTGTAAATTTTGGCATGTCCCTTAATCGTTTCTTTCTCCCACAGTATCCTGTTCCGAGTCGATTCTGCCTTGAAGGTCACTTTCACTGGGCCCGGGGTTTTTTTTTTTACAAACCCCCCTATTTTTCCGAAAATTTTCCAGCTGGGTCATGTCGTCTTCTCCGATTACTTTTTATGATGCTTTCAATTGCTTTTTTTTTCCCCTTGTTTTCTTGCTTCATATGTTCCCCTTCAACTTCCTGTAGCCCATACACAAAGACTGACCTCACCCTTTCATTCTCCCACTGCATTTCCCTGTGTATCCCCTCATTCAATTTTTCTTTCCTCCATTGCAGCTTTCCTTTCTTCAGTTTTACTAGCTATGTACATGGGCTCAGTGGCCTGTCATTTTCCCTTCTCGGCTTTCCCTGGGCTCTGTTGTGGTCTTTTAGGGCCTCCACATATAGCTTAGCTCTTTCATTTACTACAGTCTCCACTGATAGAGCTTCTACATGCAGTTTTGCTCCTTCTGTCCCCACAGTCCCTTATTTGTGGCTGAGGGAGCGGTCTCTGTTGTCAATCCCAAAATGTTCTTTAGTTCTTTAGGCTGTTTCAGATTTTCCAGTTCCCCTTCTAAGCTCTGTATCCTGGCCTCTGCTGCTTTGACTTTCACCTCCCACTTCCTGCTTTCCTGTCTATCCTCTCTTCCATTCTCATCTAAGTTCTTCTAGTTTCTTTTCCCCTTCTTGTTCCCTTTTTTTGAGCTTGCTGCCCAAAACTTCCTTTGCAGTTCCCTCCTCCTGTCCCCTTTGGGGTTTTTTTTGCTCTCTGGCAACCCATTTTTTTTTATCCTGATTGCCTC